GCAAGTGTGAGCCAGCGAGCCATGACGTCACGACAATAGATAGAGACGTTAGCCAGTTGTGCGAGGTATCGGCTGAGATTTGTGGAGTACAATTCAAAAAACAACTATAGGTCTAATAATAATGAATTATTGTGATGTTAAATAGACAATTTTAGCTATCAAAGAGCGACGTTGTTTTTCATTGGGCCCTTCGTCTTCAAGGCTTATACCATCCTAGCTAGTCTAGGCCTAGAGTAGGATAAGGCTAGCGCGACATGCGGACGTTGGTACGAGTTGGTTAGTCTACAAACGTCGCCTAAAGTAATTGATTTTACCCGGCAGAAGGAAACTCGCTTTTCAGTCGTCTTCGGCAGTCGTTTTTTGACAAACAATGACCTTTCAGAGGTCAAATTGCTGTCAAGAATATGAATTGGCTGCTTCGCAGCAATGATTGATTGACCACAATCTACCATTTTCTGAAGTCAAATTCAATGGACCTCAAAGTGCATACAAAATCTGGTCTGGCTAATAGAGTAGGCCTATTATGTCTGCCACCCATTCTTTATATAATATATACAAGGTTTCATCTTTTGGTGGTATAAGAAGTTATACATACAGTAGGCCTATTATGATTTATTGACAACATTTTTTTTCCATATAGAGGAAGCGATTTTTACACACGCTTTATCATCAATACTGAGCTACTCAACTGTTGCATTTCATCATTAATATCACACTTGAAACTCGAAGAATATAAACCGTTTATAAAGCATGAATACGAACATGTACGAAACCACCACCCGCCGCCATCTTTTAAAGCGCAGTTGCTTTTATGTTCAGTATTGTCCCGGTCGTAAGTTGAGAAACTTGTCTTGATTTCATTAGAGATTACAGGACCTAAGGTTTAAAAAAGTAAAACCAAAACAATTAATTAAAAAAAAAATGTTATTGTTATGTAAAAACCCAACAAATTTCACCTAATTCCAAATCATTTTAATTTTATCGTGTTTCAATATTTCAAAAAGGATTTTACAAATCTGTTCTTTTATATGATGTGTCCATTCAATAATGTTGGGTTTACTCAGGTAAGGTGTCTGTGTATTTAATCCAATAACCGACCTATATTTATAACTCATTTACATGTTGGTCTATAAGCCAGAAAATTACGCAGGCGCCAATTAACGCCTTTACAGTCTTAATAACAATTATTGTTTTCGGTAGTCTCTGGTTGGAGCGTATCTGCGCTTTTACCATCATCTTCGTCATCATCATTAATTATCTTCATAAACATAATCATCATTATCATTAGCAAATTTCATGATACAGTAATTATAATCATCATCATTTAATCATAATTAATCATCATCAATATGATTGTTCATCATTATCATCATCGTTAATCATCACAGTCATGGCATCAATAATTTTCATTAATTATTATTACTCATAGAAATAATAGTAATAATAATATTTATCTATTGTCCATTGTCTATTGACCATTGCCCATCGTTATTACCTCTTCAGGAGGTTTGTATTCACCGCTGTCTGTGGGGTTCGGAGGTGGGTGGGTCTGTCTGTCTGTCTGTTATTAAGCTTACGCAAAAACTAACGAATGAACCATAAAAATTAGTAGAATTGTATCTATTCGTAGAACACTATGGACAAGGTTAAGGTCACGAAAATCCAATTATTTACCAGTATTTATGCACGGAAGTGACTGCTCTAGTAGTTGTTATTGTTGTTATTAAGGAAATGAAATTCAACAATCTAATATAAAACTAAAGTTCAACAAATTTCGATTTCACTGCGTTTCATCTAATCTGTTTTTTCTTATAAACATAATCACCACCACAAACTTGCGAGAAACATTTTAAGGCAAAGGACGTTAAAATACAGTAAGAATATTACTTACCACCATCGTCATTTATGATCTTCCCAAGTCTCAACTCATAATGTTTACTTTCTTGTAGAATGCGAAATGAAGCGTAAGTGGCTGAAAAAACGTCTCCTGATTTGGTCGTGACTTTCATGCGGAGATGGAAATGCCCGCCGGACGTGAGCTTGTGCATAAAGTCGAGCCCGAACCAAAAGTCACCGCGTAAGTGACCAAATCCTCGTTGGTATTCAGCCCATGTTCTGTTAAAATTAAAGGTGCTATTTTGTCGTCTCTGCAACACCTAAAATGAAAACTTTAGGTGTTATAAATATTATAAGTAATAAACTGCAACAATCTGAAACATAGGTACATTAACTTGACAATCATACAAAATGATTTTAATTGTTATAATTTAAATAAACCCTTTCGTTAAGTCCCGCCCCTTTATATATTGTTAGTCCCACAAAACGACAGTGTTAAACATTACGCAGCCACGTGCATTTGTACAACATATGCGTTTGTTAGACACGCGCGTATTCCTGGTAGGTCTCTGATTGATCAGTTTTAAAATTTGATTGACACTACGGAAAGGTCCATTGTCTCTATTTTATTATTCTTAACTATTATTCTAATGTAGGTCTTGTAGCTGTTGTAGTTGCTGCTGCTGTTGTTGATGATAGCAATATTATTATTATTATTATTATTATTATTATTATTATTATTATTATTTTTATTATTAGGCCTATTATTATTATTATTATTATTATTATGTATTATTATTACTATTAATCATAATATTATTATTAATATTAATATTCAATAATAATATTATATTATTTCTATCATTAAATTACTTATATTATTATAATTATTATTTATATTATTATAATTATTATTATTATTATTATTATTATTATGATCATTCATATTATTATTAATATTATGATTTATACACATCTTGATTTTTTAGACCTACCTATGTCAAAAATGTTTAACATGTACAAAGCGAAGTCACATAAATAATACTTACGGTCCAACCTTCGTTATCATCTATTTCGCACATCGCAAGAAACGTTTCCTTTCCCGTTGTCAAGGCATAAATGCCAGATTTTGATCGTGGCAGTCCCTTTGGAATTTGACTGCAGTCAGTAAACTG